GATTTGATTTGAGTTGACTTGATTTTGTGTTTGTGATAGAATGAAAATGATAAATTTGAGTACTGAAACTGTTGTATAAATGAATCGTTATTATTGTATTCAATTCACAATCAGCGCTTTCCAGTTATTTCGTCGTCGGTTTCTTAAAAACCTCTTCAAACATTTTTTCGACCCATTTCTGCAAAATGTTTCGGATGATGTTCTTCTTCTTCTTGTTTTTTGATGTATGAGAGTATGTGTGATATTAGCCAATTTGCATGTTTCATAATGTCAAGCGTTAGCTTCATTGGGGTACAATTCGAGAATGATTCGTTAATATTTGTTTTTTTTTTGTTTGCTCCTGAAACAGTCAGGGAAGGGTTTGATGCGCATTCATGCGGTGACTAACAATAAGCAGCAGCAGTCCTTCGTTCGTTCAACGTAATTTCATCCTTATGGTCTGTAACTCGGATGCCCTTTAATTGTTTTTTTTGGTCTTTTACAGATTCCGAGTCTTTTGGGATCCTATTCAAGTCATCCGTACTTTCTTTACGTGAATATGCGTCAACTTTTTGAAAATAAAAGCATTTGACGCATGGGAGCCATTAGGATACCGAAGATGTTTGAATGAAGTACGGTCAAAAAGGGACGATAGAAATGCGGGTTCCTGGCCGAGTCAGTCAAGTAAGTCATGGTATAAGATTTAACGGACCAGGCAAGCTTTTGGCCCGGTATGGCAAGTATTGTCCTGGCCCCTCAGTTCGGCAAATTTTGGCATGACTTGGCAAAGTTCATCCGAAATCTAGGCCCCGGATCCGCAGCAGATCGCATGAAGGATTGGGAGCTGCCGTTCGGTGCCATGCGAAGTAGAAATGATAGAGTTTTCGAGTGCGAATAGACATTTTTTTGTGTTCTTGCTTGCTTATAGGTTAGCGTTGTTGATGATTGACCTAGCTGTTGGATAGTGTTTGGGTGAGTGAAGTGTGTCTGCATGTTGTGTTTCGTCTTGAATGTATTTGNAAGGGATCTATTCGAATGGGTAATAGAGAATTGAAGAAGAAGGTGTTTGCTGCTGGTACAGAGAGAGTTGGAGATTGTCCGTGCTCGTAGTAGCGTATTCATCATCTCGCTTTAGTGGCTGTTGTGTTTGGGTATGATACGTTGATGGTGTTTGATCTCGATGAGAGGATGGATGGATGGATGGATGGTTGGATATGTGAAAGATATAGAAAGAACATCTATCTATCCATCTCTATACATTCAACGGACGATTACTATTCTCCAAACGTCTTCTTCTTTTTTTGTCGTTGAATCGATGTGTCTGTATCTCTTCATCTAAGAATGTACTTTTAGCAATGCTGCTATAAGAAGGATGAAATGAGGTCAACACGGTACAATGACGCTATCGTCATTATTTTCGTAATCTTGGGCATGTTCCTTAAGCTTCTTTACCCAGTGTTCCTTTGGAAAATATCCTCAATATTTCGAAGAATACGTCTAACTGTAAGAATTTCAGTTTTTTAGCTAATTTTTACGCATAGTCAAGTGTAAAGTACCAGTCAGGTTGCAGATGCGTGTTTGGAAGAATCGCCACAATGAGTCGTGTCGTGTCGTTGTGCGATTGCAATTGAATCGCTCGTTGCGGTANTTTGGAAGAATCGCCACAATGAGTCGTGTCGTGTCGTTGTGCGATTGCAATTGAATCGCTCGTTGCGGTAGATCCTCGAAAAGTATTATTTGAGGATATGTTATTGGGATTAGTTAATTAGTTAATTATTCATTCGTTTACTTGTTTCATTTCTCATTAAATATCAATCCTCCACTAAAATGTAGTATTGTTGGAAGCGTAATTTAGTGTATTAGAAGTGGGAGGGAGACATAGAAGCAATTTCGAATTTATTGGTAATAGTGAGGAACTCTGAGAGATTCGAGAACGATAAACAACAGATGGCATCGATTAAACAACGTGGATTTTATGAGATTACTTTAATGCAAAAGAAAAAAACGAATTAAAGCTGAGGAAATATAAATGGCAGGAATCAAGCAGAGATGCAGAATTTCAACAAAACACAACAGCAGGAATGATTGTAGAGGTGTAATTTTTGAAAGAGTACGGAAAACGAAGAGAGTGCAGAACGGCTCGAAGGTAAATTATTAAGATGTACATATGTTAAGATGTGCAGGATAATGATTTTGGCGCTTAAATACGATAAATAAGAGTGTACGCGTTGTGGGGAGAGTCAGAGAACTAGAGGGAATGGCGGGTAATAAAAAAGAGAATAGTATGTGGAATGCGAATTGGCTGGCATTTGGCCATAACGTATAATATTAGAGATATAAATATGTATTCATATATGAGGCATGTTGTGTGCTATGTGTGTGTGTATGTGTGTATGCGAGTGTTTGATAGATAATATAGCGATGTGATGATGATGCTTTCGAATAGAAATTGTACTGTTATTTATATGTATATACGAGCTGATATACTTTTTACANGAATATTACTGGTTAGCACTGTAATCAGTCGCCGACTAGGTATTTCATCTTCTTGTTTGTAACGAGTTGAATTTATTCATTCGAAAATCACTTTGATTTGATTTGTCGTCACTCGTTCGCGTTGCAATCGCTTTGTCGCGGCGATCGTTCACAAATTCGCTCGTGAAAATCGCTTTGTCGTGTATATTTGCTTGCTTTGCTTTTTTTTCGGTGTATCAAATTTGCGATGGCTTGATTATTGTGTTTGGGTGGTGTTATCGAGATGATATTTACTGTTTATTTATGAGTTAGTTTTGAGGCTGACTGTGTTTTTGTATTGTGCTGTTGTCATTGTTGTTGTAATATTTCAGTTGAACGCAGTGCACTTGCCACCACAACCACAGCACAATAACAATAACAACAAACTAGAACTTGGAGTTTCAGAGAGTGTACTCTGATTCGTTTATTTTTGGAAACATTATTTATTCTGAAGAAGTGAGATCATGAGCGCAGTTGAAGAACGAGTGGCCGAGAAGAGGCATTTGGATGAGGAGTCTGAAAATACCGAAAATGGTGTCGTTCCGAACAAAGAAGCGAAATTGGAAAACGGAAAAGAAGCGGTGAGTGATAATTTACTTACTATTTTGTTTTGATTTTATTGTTTCGTTCAGAAAGGTCAATTGGGAGTATGCAGTTGTTTCGAATGAAGGTAAATAAGGATTGATTTGTTGTGGTCATATTTGTGCGTTCTTTTCAAATATGAGATAAATTGCGTTTCGGATTTCAGGTAGTCGAAGATAAGAAGAAAGTGACAGCGACTTTATTGAAAGGTATCATTCTGATTATTCGTGTGGTTGCATGTTGCTTTATGAGTTGTGGTCTATTGTTTATATCAATCAGTACTTTCTCGATATTCAAAAGCTTTACTTCGGCTGAATTTCGCTGCTCAGCCTCGAAGCGAACCGATTGAGTGAGTGAGTCCAAGTGATGATTGTTTTCGAGTTGTTTTGTGCAGTTGGTTGTGTTTAGAGAAGAAAGTGATCGAAGAGACCAAGAACGGTGATGAGGGAGAGGACGACGAGGGTGAGGCAGAGAAAGAAGATGGAAATGTAGAGTCGAGTGGAGATGAAGACGCCGACGCAGATGCAGATAGTGTGGGAGAGGATGAGGACGACATCGGTAGCGAGGAAGACGAACAGAGCGCTGGTAAGTTCTATATCATACTTGAATCATTTGACGGCATATGCTGTTTTCAGTTCTTTATGACTTTATTTACTCGCATTTATTTTATTCGGTAGTGATCATTTATTGATTGTGAAGGATCGAGAAATAATCTGATATTAATTCCAGGATCGGGCATTAACCTGATGTTACTTCCAGGATCTGAGGGAGAGAGTGATGATGTGGAAGAGGTCGAGGGTGATGAAGACGGCGATGACGTAGAAAGTGAGGAATAACTCTAATTAGTATAATATAATAATACAAGTGAATTAATAAACCATGATCGTTTTCTATATTAATTATGTTTATTGATTGTTTAATATTATTGTTAACAAACTTATAAGTAATTCAATTGGCTCGGTATTGGTTTGATATTGTTGATGTTATTGGTACTGAACATGATATTGTTTCGTTATGTTTATGATCTCAGGGGTCTGTTCCACATTCGTGTTGTTGAAGTGATTCATTCATTCATTAGTTGTTTCGATTTGGGTCAACTGATATTTGGTTCAGAAGTGTGAGGTATGATGTTGATTTTGGTGGAAAAAAACGTTCGAATGGAATGTTTGCGATGTGTTTTGGGGGTGGAAATTACATAGTTGAATGGTTTTATTAGATTGTTTGTGGACGGGATTGGTTGTTTTTCATTGGGAGGAGAGGGGAGGGGGTGGCTCTGACATGGAACGGACCTCGTTCAGTATGAACAATGCGCTAACTCAAATTACAATTACTCTCATCCTGTTAATTAGTAGTAACTTTGATTGACTTTTCGAAAACATAATAATTCGATACAACCAATCTGTAATCTCGTAACAATTGCGTGTGTCATGTCAATTGGTATTTGATATTATGATGATGATGATATATGGTTTATTAATTCATACTTATATACATATACATAATTATATAATATGAAATCATTTCTTATGTCTTATTCCATTGATGTCTTCTTGTTGTTTTGTTTTTTATTTATTAATGTTGTTCATTGTTTTTCGTTCATTATTTACTTATTGAAATGACATTCAATTCAGTTGATTGGATTTTGATTTTGTTCATTTGTTAAGGTATAATATAATTGAAGTGAAATGTTTCATGTTAAAGATTTCAATTAGTAATTGAGTTGAACAAATGTTTTCGATGGGTTTGTTGTAGTTTTAAGGTTTTGGGTTATTTTGATTGTTGGGGATTGAATCATTCACTCATTCGCTTTGGATNATGTCGTGATTTTGGATTTCAATTTTAGCCATAGAATTGCCCATCGTTGTAAGACGGTTTGCCTGTGAAACATTCGGGAGGTGACAAATACTTTTAGGCATAGCAGGTCATTGGGTAGATACTTTTAAGCATAGCAGGCGATTTGATCCGAGTTTATCCGTTGCTGTTATATTATACGTATTTGTTGGTGTTGATATTATTTTTATTATTTCAACAGAAACATTTCTTACAGACCTCCTCTTCGCTATGTTTTCGTCGTTTTTTGTTTATTTATTTATTAATTTATACCGTCATTATTTATAATTGGTTCTCTGTTTTACTCTTGTTTGAGATTAAATGTTTCATTAGAATTAAATTATGTTGTGTAAGTACAGTCAAATTAATAACTCACTAACATAACACGCATATAAATGAATCACCATGACTCTCAGGCTGCACACACTTTGCAAAAAGTATTTATAGATCGGCGGTGGTAAAGAACTCATTTTATGAAATTATTAATGAGAATTCAATCGAATGGATATCCAATTGAGACGTTTCAGGGCAATTATGATAGCAATTTGAAGACAATGTTAGTTTAATAGGGATGGTTAATGATGCAATCGCAATTGACAGTTTGTAGTTTGGTGGTAATTCGCATTCGAAAGTGATTAAACGAAAAAGGATTTGTTGGTTTGGTTGTGAAAGGGACAGTGTAACATTGAAATAATTAACACGATTTCATACATGATAGAAGGTGAACTGCATGAAGGATATCTGTTAATTAACGTGTGTCTGTTAATTAAATGTGCGTTTTTGAGTGGACTAAATGAACGCTTGAGTATACAATTAGACAGCTGAACAGATACTTTTGATATGATAATTACGAGGGATTTTAATCAGGTTCGAATGCAGACGACAATGGCGACACGGCTGATAATAATACCGACGATTTGAAAGGTTGCGGTAATAATGTAATTACGTGAAAATGTAATAATGTTAATGTATGTGATAATAAACGAAACCGAATAAAGATATAAAGCAAATAAACTGAATAATTTGCAATGTGCTCCGCCTAGAGCATATCTTGTTTGGACGATATTCTCATTCTTAATTAATCGGTATACTCAGTGATGATTTGTTCAGTGATGTGTTCAAATAAAGTGATCTCGTCATTTCATAACGAATATCAAATAAGTGTTCTGATTTATGATTAGAATGTCATTTTCATTTGATATATCCGACTGGAACGTAAGAGATGATGAGGTGCGTTCCCCACTGGAATGGCCTAAATTCATTTCATAAATCCATCCATGTATCTATCCATCGCTCTCATCCATCCATTTGTTCAGAACGTGTCAACGAGCAATTATTTGTTAATATCTGATCATCACTGACCGACAGACACTTCATTTATCCATTCGTTAAATCATCACCTCATTCTCATTTCATCACGATCAGCTTTCTATCGTTGTTATCGTTAGCAGTGCGTTATTATCCGTGAATTATTATCACTGTTATTAGTGGTATTATAAGTATTATCAAGTGTTCTGATATTGCAGTTAATTAATCAGTAATAATTGTAGGCCATTATAAGAAACTGCCGTTGTCAAGCTCATAGGATAT